ATGTTTAACAGTTGTATGGACAAAAACAATAAAAAAGAGAATAAAATCTTGTGATTAGAAGAAAATAAGCCAAGCAAACCACTAAAGATAAGTAGATGCAAAGAAATGCAGCTTAGATCACTGCAAGTTAAAAGAAAGTTCTGATTCAAGCCAACTATTGAGAAGAACTGAAGATCTGGGGCATACTACCTCCAGGACCAGTATCAAGAAGGATTACAGAGCCCTGGGAGCAGTGGTCAGGGACCCTGGAGAGCAGGTAGTTTTTTCATCAGTCCTCCCAGTCAAAGCGAAGGGGGTTGAAGGGGCCAGGCGAATCTGGCAAATCAACAATTGGTTATAGGACTGGTGCCACAGCCAGGGGTTTGGCTACTTAGACCATGAGACTCGCTTTGAGAAACCAGGTCTACTGGGGGTTGATGGGGTCCATCTGTCAGCGAAGGGGAAGAGCATCTTTGGTCAGAGGCTTGCCAAACTCACGAAGAGGGCTTTAAACTAGAGTTGCCGGGGGAGAGGAACCTCAGTCCATCATCCCACTCCTACCAGTTTGATGCCAATACCAGTAATAGATGCCCAGAACCTGGAGAGGGGTTACAGGTCAGCAGGAGAGCACCTGGAGGAACAAACAAGAGGAGTTAAGAGAGGTGTGCACGCCTGCAGAGCTGTGATCTTATTGGCATCACAGAGACCTGGTGGGATGGCTCCTATGACTGGATTGTTGGAATGGAAAGATACAGGCTCTTTAGGAAGGACAGGCAGGGGAGACAAGGAGGTGGTGTTGCCCTCTATGTCAATGACCAGATGGAGCGCATGGAGCTCCACCTGGGGATGGATGAAGAGCTGACCGAGATGTTATGGGTCAGGATTAAAGGGAGGGCAGGGACAGGTGACATTATGGTGGGAAGACCCTACTGCAGCCTTCCAGTACTTAAAGGGGGCCTACAGGAAAGATGAGGACAAACTTTTTAGCAGGGCCTGTTGTGATAGGACAAGGGGTAATGGCTTTAAACTGAGAGAGGGTAGATTTAGACTAGATATAAGGAAGAATTTTTTTCTGATGAGGATGGTGAAACCCTGGACCAGGTTGCCCAGAGAGACGGTACATGCTGCATCCCTGGAAACATTCAAGGTCAGGTTGGATGGGGCTCTGAGCAACCTGATCTAGTTGAAGATATCACTGCTCACTGCAGGGGGGTTGGACTAGATGGTCTTTGGAGGTCCCTTCCAACCCAAATCATTCTATGATTCTATATTCTGACCACCTATACTATATGAGCAAAGCATGCAAGGACAATGTGGGAACAAGCACATGTCATTTATGAGTACTGCTGGAGACGAAAAGTCCATGGCTGAAGTGACTGCCTTTATGCACATGGACAACACGAATGGATGGACTGACAACCACTTAAAAAAGATCTAATTAAGACATTAACTTTAGCTCTTTGACTAAACAAGAAAATTGCAATAATTTGTTTTAAATCATTTGTTAAGATTTCAGTAAGACTACATATACTTATATGTGCTCATATCTACTTCTTTTCATCTTGAGTCGTTTACCTCATTTTAATTTCAAAAAACCTTAGGCAACCAATTTAATCTTAAACTAGCCAGATTTAAGATGCAATACAAATTGGCACACACTGTTCGCACATTTCAGCACGCACACCTTAACCCTCCCGGCATTAGTTGGGCTGCTACATTATCATGGGGATAAGGTCTCTATGTAATTGAGGAATTAAAACAGAAGGGATTTTCTTAACATTAAGGTGATAAGACCTAAAGATGTGACTGTGCATCTTGCCAGCCAATAAAACTACGCAGAAACTCCAGAATATTAACATTCAATGGCAACCCATTCAAATTAAGTTCATTCTAAAGCAGTCATATGTGAGAAAATACTAACTTGGGAGTAGTAAGTGAATTTCTGTTTGGTATACACCATACAGGTGGAGATGGGACTGCAGGAACGGCAGTGATGGCAAACAGCCAGAGCAACTGAAGTGTTGACTGGAAACATTTTACAAGGGCATGTAGTGATACAATGATAGGAGGGGGAATGGCTTTAAACTGGAAGAAGGGAGATTCACTATGAGGGTAGTAAGAGCCCTGGAACAGGTTGCCCAGGGAAGTTATCGAAGCTCCATCCCTGGAAGTGTTCAAGGCCAGGCTGGATGGGGCTTTGAGAACCTGGTCTAGTGGGAGGTGTCCCCGCCCATGGCATGGGGGTTGGAACTAGATGATCTTTAAGGTCCCTTCCAACCTAAACCATTCTATGATTCTAAGATTTGGAGCTCCACACAGGTGACGAACTGCCATTCTCCACACGAGCTGGCAGTACCGGTCGGCAGGAGGGGAGCCGCAGCATTACTCAGGTGCGGTGGCGAGAGAGATTTTGGGTCAGGCTGGAGCTGACGGGACACACACGGTTACCCAAGCGAACCGAGAAGCACAGAGGCGGAGGCGCCTCATCTCCACCCCGGCTCTCCAGCGCCGGGAGATGAGGAAAGTGGCGGGAACCTAGCGGTCTCCTCGCG